AGCATTTGACAACCAAAAAGACGACAGATTTGCTTTGGTCTCAAGTTGAATACAGTATTGGATGGAAGTTCAAGAATTGCCTCTGCCAACCCTGGAGGTTCTTCTGGTATGTTAGTAATTTCTACAACCCAATTCACAGTTTATACATCAAGATCTGAAAAGTAGTCAGAGAACCGCTCTCTGAGTTTCGTAAGATGAAATTAGAAAAAATTTCCCTATTACCCAAAAAATTTTCATTTTTACCCCATTTTAGGTAATTTACCCCGGTTCCCCGACCGCTGTAGTAAAGTATTTGAAGATTGAACTTGTTTTAAAAATTGCAATTCTATTTTTAATTAGAAGTTTAATAGTTTCAAGTGAAGATTACATAAAGTGGAGTTTATTTATGTTTTTCAATGATGTCGTGCACCTGGGTTGCATTATTTTTAACGTATCCTCTTGAGCGGCGTGTCGAAAGATTAAAGCCGAAGTATTTATACGTGTATAGTGTAGTGAAGTGGAGGATAGGTAATAAAATCCGGGTCACTTACCGACGTCGGCTGCGGCGTATCGGATCTCCTCGTGATTTAGGGACGACGTCGCCTTCGATGACCTCAAACCATCATGGTGATCATCATCATCATCAATAACAACAGCATCAATATCGGCAGCACTCCCAGTCCGATATGCACTACTATACAACCGGTGGTGATCCGAGTCGGAAACGAGCAAATCCTCTTCCGCGTCCAATTCCTTCGAATCCGCCTCCAGACAAGCCATCATCGTCGACATGAATACCAATGGCCATGCCTTCAACAACGAAATATGTACACGATCGCCGCAAAGACACAGCGAGCGTGGGACTCGCGCATACAGTGAATGTAAATAATATTGAGATTTGATGATGCCGGATTTATTTTATTGGTCAACTTCGACGGAAGAGATATGTCGCGATTATCTGCAACTACTGCAACCACTCTCTCGATCACCTCGCATAATCTTGATCTAATACCTCTAATCCAGCGGTCGGGGAACTTTTTTAACCATTACCCCAGAATATTATTGCGTAAGTCGATACTACCCCCCCATTCTGAATAGAAAACAATCAATGTAAATTTTAAATAAACATTATTTATTGAATTAATTTGCATTTACATATTTATAAAAAAAGTTACATGAAAATAGTAACAAATAGTAATAGACAAACAAAATAAAATTCTTAAATTGGAACAAACAAAAATTAATTGAAAACTTTCCCCCTTCAGGTTTTGGAAAAATGATGTTGCTTCGATGTTGATATAATTACTTTCAAAATTGGGATTTTTTGATGTTTTTATGTTTTTTCGTTTT